TAAATTAGGGGTGAGCAGCGGATATACCGATCCGCCAAAACCGACCGAACCGAACCGATCCGCCGCAATGTGGACGGATGCGTGATGACGAGCGGACGGTTGCAGATTGATTTTCTCCAATCCGCCAATTTGGCGGACGGATGGCGGATTTGAGATTTTTTGGCCGCAACCGAACCGCCAAACCGCCAAATCGCGAGCACCCCTAGTACTTTATAAGACTTTGTATTTTCAATTTGTTTAAATATTATGTTTGTGTTTTCAATTAAAAAAGAATTTAAATATTCTGTTGAAAAAAAGTTTTCAACTTGAATATATTTTTTGAATTGAAAAAAATAAACGCATTATTCATCTATATTTTTTAGTTTTTAAATCTAATTCTAAAAATAATAAATAGAAAATATGATATATGCTGGTTGGTTTTTGTTTTCAAAAACATATGTAGATGTAACAATACAGAGACATTCAATCTCTACTACTGCTCTGTTCATGGTTTTGGTGATTTGAATTGTTATTATATTTTAAGAATCACAGATTGTAATACTTTATGGGGATGAATCATGTTGTGATTGTAATATGTGGATGAGGTATGCAGTGATCGTGATATTCTAAAGTTTCAAACTTTCTTTCTTTGGATAAGGCATACAGTGATTGTAATACTTTTTTAAGTCATTGACTGTAATACTTTCTTTTTTTTTTTTGAGGAAGTACACAAGTTGAATTATGTTGAAAATTTATAAAATTTTAAACCGCCAAACCGATTCGCATCCATCCGCCAAACCGCCAATCCGCTCAATCCACATCCGCCGGATTGGCGGACGGATGCGGATTGATTTTCTTCAATCCGCCAATCTGGCGGACGGATGGCGGATTGGAGGTTCCGTGGCCGCAACCGACCCGCGCCCACCCCTAGTTTAAATTATGAACCCAACATATTCAAATCTGTTTGAATTCAAAACCAACAGGTTTCATACCTGTTCAATTCAAAACCAGCAGCTACCTTTACATCTATAAATAGACTAGCCTCTCATTTAGATTTTACTCTAATTTTTCGTACTCCATCATCTGCTATAAATCTATGCATTTTGCTGTATTTTATTTCTGAAATAAAAAAGTGTAAACACTCAGTGTGTTCGTAAGGCAAACAATTTGTAGTGTTACTATTGTTTGTAGTAGATCATTTCATCTTGGGAGATAGACGTCCAAATTCTGAAAACACCGTGGAGAGGATGAATCTGTCTTAAGGACACAGTGTCAAATACTGGACTTGATCAGATTATAATTTGAACAAATTATAATTTGAACAAATTAAATCAAGTAAGTTATTTAATTTATTTTGAGTGTTATTGTTATTTATTTAAATCATATTTTAATTTTATTTTTGTAACAAAACAAAATCTGTTTTTATTTATTTATTTTTATTTAAAGTTTGATTTTTGTAACAAATTCTCTCATTTCCTTTATTTCTTTTATATTCTATTTGTTGTTAAGTACACAGACTGAATTAATTAATTACAGTGAAAATTATCCAACAAATAGAAGTTCCAATGTATACGTTCTTGTTATACTTAAATAAAGATTTTAGTATCCTTTTATTTTACTCCGCTGCACTATTAATTTGTTATGATTTTAGTTATTGTTTTGTTGCGACGCTGAACCTTTAGGTACCAAGTTTGAGTCGTGACATTTTGTCTTATTGACTTTTTAATTTATTTTATCTTTTTGTGATTAAAATAACCAAAAAAAACCTCTAAAATTTACATACTAAGGCCAAGTTTGGCAACACCAAAATAATCCATCTTTTTATCTTTTTTTCATCACATCACCTCTCTACTTTTCTGCACATCTTTTCGTAAAAAGACAAAAAGTACACTTATTTAGGTCATCCCAAACAATCCCAAAACGAAGGCTAGGTATTAAGTATAGTTAAAAAAAGAAAGCAGTGGGGGTTGATAAAAAAATAAAGAAAGAAAGTAGTATATAAGTAAACAACAATATTAGAGATAAAATTTTTATCAAATTTCTCATATGGGATCCACACCATGTAGATTCTACGTGGGTCTCATATATACGTGAGACAATTAATAAAAATTTTAATAAAACTTTTGAAGTCTCTAACATTATTTACAGGTTAAATTAACAACGACAAATGAAGTAATAATTAACTGATGTGTATTTTTAAGGGGATGTACTATTTTTTCTTCATTGAAGTAGGCCAAAAACACCAGTGTCCAAACGTTTTTTTAAGGTTATGTTTGACATAAATTTATTGAGTTAAAATATTCACAAAAATATGAAATGAGTTAAAAAATTAATATGATAAAATGTCACATTCAAATTATAATTATTTTATTTTTTATCTCACAAAAGTTAAAAAACTCAAAAAATTCATTCCATACAAGTTTTTTTTAGTCCCAAGTTAATAGTCAAAAAGTTAAAAAACCGAAATGGCAACCCACATTCCAAACAAAGTTTAAATGATTTAAAAAAAAAAACATTTAAGCCAAATTTATAAAAAATAAAAAATAAAACATTATATTCATTTCATTAAAGACACGCCAAATATATATAGTGCTTTGTAAGATTCATTCCGCACCAATATTATCAGTATTGTACTTTCAAAACATTTATTGATGCATTTATGGTCTCAAAAAAATAAAAATAAAAATAAAAATAAAAATGAATGCATATACATTTAATTTCTAACAATTATTCTAGTGTACATATTAATTGTTTTTTTAATTATGGGAAATGATGGTGTTTAATAATGAGTATCCATTAACGAAGGTGACATAATTGACCAAATTTATCACTTAAAATATTAAGTCGTTTTCATATGTAGTTCATTTCATTTTCAAACCTCTCAAAATTGAATTGATGAACCTTTAATGAACAATAGTTATTTTTGTGCTCCCAACCCCAGTGAAATCTTTCTTGTTTCTTCTTGGTCCATATATGTAAAAAAATTTAATTAATATTTATAGTTACATAAAATTAGTTTACTATATGTATTCAAAAGATAAGGCGACAAAAAATAAATATCTTATTTTTTAAAAAATAAATTCATATTTGTATTCGACTGTAGAAACATCACTCTGGTTAGTTTCGAGTCTTCAGAAAACAATTTTGATTTTTTTTTTCTTCATATTTTGTTATTTTTAGTTATTTTTATATTTTAATAAATTTTCAAAACTTTTTAGATGTACCTAATTAAAATCTATGAACAAAATAAAATATTTATGAAGAAATTTAAAATTAATTCAATAAAATATTTTTTGTATTTAATAAATCGGTGGTGCTATATGCACGAATTAGTGTACTAACTAGTGTACAAATATTAGTTATAACATTATTATTGACCCCATTCATTAATCATATTACAAATACTAAAAACCTTTTAAATTATGCCACATCATCAATTGATACACTAGTTAATACACTAATTGATTCATATAACATTATTTTTAATAGATTTTCCCCCAAAAATTGTATACATTTTAAAGTGTATTTTAGATTAAGTAAATCTAAAAAGTAAAAAAAAATAAAATAAATAAGAACCAAAAATTTGAATTAAAGATTGAAAATTGTTTTCAAAAATTTGAAACAAAAAAGAGTGTGTTTTTTTCTTTTTCTTTTTCCCCACAATGATTTATACATAAAAGTGAAAAAATAAAATTATAGTGTGAAATTTGTACTAATCCCATGATCCAACTGCAACAAATACAAATAAGTCATATATATTTTTTCATATACATATATGTATATATCAATTTGGAAAATTTATAAAAAACTCATAGTTTAACGCTGGTAACAAAAAAAGTTTTAAAATTTTAAATTTATCAATTTACACTTATTTTTTAAAGTTTATTTTTAATCTAAACCATCTATTTATTTCAATTGAGTAAAATCGATATAAAAAATTATTTATTCATTAAATTCATAGTTGTTTTATCCCATGATCCAACTGCAACAAATACAAATAAGTCATATATATTTTTTCATATACATATATGTATATATCAATTTGGAAAATTTATAAAAAACTCATAGTTTAACGCTGGTAACAAAAAAAATTTAAAAATTTTAAATTTATCAATTTACACTTATTTTTTTAAGTTTATTTTTAATCTAAACCATCTATTTATTTCAATAGAGTAAAATCGATATAAAAAATTATTTATTCATTAAATTCATAGTTTTTTAGGAATTAATTATTTTAGTCAATTTTTGACGAAAAAATATTTAAAAAAATAGAGAAAAATTTGACTTTTTAACCCTTTAACTATTTTAAGTGATTTCCAAACTTGGCCCCAACCTAAGTATATATAGAATATCTAAAATATCATTTTTCATTAAGTTTAATGCTTGAAATATAATTTTTTTGCCAGTTTTATTTAATAAAAATAAATAAATAGTTTTAATTGAAAATACATCAAAAGATTAAAATTTAAATTGATTTTAAATTGATAAAATTTAAAATTTATTTTGTTATCTGATGAAATACTAAGATTATTATTATTATTATTTTTTTTTTGTAATTTGTCATATTAACTTTTATCAAACTAAGTATAAAATATTTTATTTAAATTTTAATTTTGTACCATCTCCAACGTTTACTCATAGCTTTCATCAAATTTAAATTTGTTAAAAATTTATTAAAAGCAGTACTCTAATATTGTCATCAAAGTAATATCAAATGAAGAAAGTGATAGATTTTTCATCAAATTAAGAGAATGTTTAAATTTTCATCAAATTTTTAAATTGATTGTTAGTAAATGACCGGATGTATGACCGGTGGGCGATCGGATTTTGATCAAAATTTACTCTATGCCAGATGACTAACAAGATGACGGGTAAAATGGATGAAAACAATTGAAGTACATAATCAAATTTTTATTCAAATTTAATGAAATATTTGATAAACAATTGAAGATATTTTTTAAAAAAAAAAATAAAAAAATAATAATAATAATCTAGTATTTGGGTTGAAGCAGAGTTGCACATTAGACTGTATATACGACCAGAGAGAGGGTCTCTTCAACTCAGTACAACCCTTTCTACATATGTTTCCCTTTCTTTCTGTGACTTTCTCATGCATGGCGATTTCGGATCGAATTCGAAGCTAAGGCACGTAATCACCTCCAATCGATACGCAGCACTCGCAGAGAAGATGTGATTTCAGGGACATTTTTGAGGGTTTGAATCATCCAATTTTTTTCACTTGCTGTGTATAATCGAATTTCTAGGGTTTGCTTTCCAAGTCAAGTTCACGCATGAAGGGCCCTCTAGATCGAACGAAGATTGTAGTCCGGCACTTGCCGCCGACGATGTCGCAGTCGGCGCTCATGGAGCAAATTGATGCCCGCTTTGCCGGACGCTACGACTGGCTTTCTTTCCGCCCCGGCAAGAACAGGTTAGGATTAGATTGTTTCTTTGCTTTAATTTACTACAACATTAGATTTGTGCTTGATTGGATTGTTGGGTTTCTTTAATTTACTACAAAATTCTAGTTTTGCTGGATATGTATGTTAGGGTTTACTGGATTAGACTTTATTTTTATTTTTATTATTATTATTTTTTTGGGGGTGGGGTGGGGTGGTGTTTGTTTAATTGAAAGGTTTAGGATTTTGGATCGGTTTATACCCTACTTCACAGTTAAACTCGTATGCATGTTGGGTTGAGGTTGGAAATACTGGCATTGACAGGGTTTGGAAACTTTTCATTTTGGGGTTTGTAGGGATTGTTTTGCTTCTTAGTATTTTACAGTTGTTGGTGATGTTAGGATAAGTTTGAACAGGTAGCCAAAATGATATGAGAACTAGGTGGGAAATAATCTGAAAGTTTTACATGCCTTCGGGTGAATGGTCAAGATATGATATGTGGGGAAAATGAATGGATGATGGTGGAAAATGTGATTATATATATTTTTTGAATAGCCAGGGAAGTGAATGAGCTCGTTATCATGGTGGTTAGCAGACAGCCGTCAACTTATATTTGTTTGATTTTATTTTATTTTTTGTTTTTGGGTGAGGGGGTGGTGGGGATTGGCTGGCTTTGATTGCATTTTTATTAAAGAGCTCATAATTTGAAGTATTTTAAATGGGTTGATTTATCCTGAGTCTAGAAGAAAGGAAGTGGAAAATTATGTCTCGATGATTCTCAGGTTAGTTTTTCCCGATTTGTTTTTGGTGACCCTTTATTGTATGTTGTGGTGTTCTGAGTTTGAAGCGAGCATACCCCAACTTAAATTGGGTTTTCCTATGCTATCTATTTAGGGAAGCCACATAATATTTTTTGAATCTACTTGCCGCAATGTTCATTTAATATGTGTGAGGATTAATTAGCAGTTTTTGATCGTTGGTAGAAGCCCTTACCTACCACCGATATGTGTTTCTGGAAGAACACTCATCTGTACGGGAAATACTTTTGTTTGTTGTTTGTCCTTCTAAGCATGGACCAATGTACTATAAATGTGGAATATTGTTGTAATAATTACATACCAATGCTTGAATCAGATTTTTATTACTAGGTGCATTCTCTTATGTGATTTGTATTTATTGAACTGATTTTGCAGCCAGAAGCATCCATCCTATGCTAGGGCCTACATTGACTTCAAGAAGCCAGAGGACGTTATTGAGTTTGCTGAGTTCTTTGATGGGCATGTTTTTGTCAATGAGAAGGGTAATCCTTGAACATATACTGTGAAGAGAATTGATGAGACACGTCAAATCTTGCCACCAAATATCTTTTGAGAATATTTGTTTATTCAATCTTAGGGTTCCTTATATGGATAAGGTAGTGAAGCTTTCCCTTTCCACTGCCAGCAGCTAATAATAATAATAATAAAAGAAAGAAAAAAAAAAAAATCTAGAGCTACTGTGTGATATGATTTTTTTTATTGGGTACTATGTGTAGGGGTGTAAACGGTTCGGTTTGGTTTGGTTGGTGTTAAGAGTATATATCATACCGAATCGATTCTTTTGATTTTTATGATTGAGAAATCGATACAAACCGTATGCTACAGTTCGGTTTTATCAGTTTTGTTGGTTTGATGTAGAAGAGAAATTTACATCATATTTTAAAATGTTTTATAGTAGATTATAGAATTTTACATTGAAAATAAATGAAGAAAATATATGAAAATTGCTCTATAAATGTTTTTCTCACTAATTTTTATCACAAAAGTGTATATTAGTTACTTCTCATATAATCTTCAAGAAATTATAATATAAAAATATTTAAATATAATATTCAGGCGGTTCGGTTTGCATCGGTATAAAAAGTTTCAAAACCGAAATAGACCGTATGTTATGAAAAACAGTCTGAAAACTAAAATTTCGGTTGATTTCGAACGGTCAGCTCGGTTTTATCGGTTTTTCTTACATCCCTAACTATGTGTGTAAGTTTGTTTCCCTAAAATACCATGTTCTAATGAGGCGCTCCCTTCCCCCGGTCACAGGTACTCAATTCAAAACTATTGTTGAGTATGCTCCTTTGCAACGTGTTCCAAAGCAGTGGTCTAAAAAAGATGGGCGTGAAGGGTCCATATTTAAAGGTATCAAAATGGTAACTTTGTATGACGATTGCATGCAACATATGCCAACATTTCCTTATTTCAGTTGTGATTAATTTTCTCATTTTTTCGACGAGTTCTAGATCCGGAGTATTTGGAGTTCCTTGAAGTTCTTGCGAAACCTGTTGAGAATCTTCCCAGTGCAGAGATACAATTGGAGAGAAGGGAAGCGGAACGTGCTGGTTAGTTAGAACTTCTTTGTAATATATGTTGTCATTCATTGAACCCATGTTGTAGAGAGAGATAAAGAGGCTGTAAATGGCATGAGAAAGAAATTTTAACTTTGTCTTTCCCACATCTTCTTTTTTAGGTGCCGCAAAGGATGCTCCTATAGTCACACCGCTGATGGATTTTGTTCGTCAGAAAAGAGCTGCCAAGGGTGGAACTCGGGTAGCAATTATTATTACTAGCCTTTTATTGATATACACATAACTTATGCAATCAAGTAATTTTGATACTTCTGTGCAGAGGCGGTGCAGGTAAACTAATGGGGTCAATTAACCCCATTGGCTAGTTCAATTTTTTACTTTTTTTTTAATGTTAACCTTTTATAATTTTGTGCACCAATTTGTCATTGTTGCTGCACCCAACACAAGTTTTATAGTTTTTGAAGGGAAAATCCACCTCTTCTTGGTTTGTTCCAATTATTCATAGAACATATTACCCTAGTATATGGATTTTTGGTTCAAGTGTGAATTTTTGGTCGAATTAATGTTGGGTTTCTCATGCTTTTGCACCCTTTAGTCATTTTTTTGGTTCAATAACAAGGATATTATGCGAGGCAATTTTAGAAGTAAATATTTTTTTATTTCTTGACAGAAATAATGTTTTAGGATTTTTTATTTATTAATGATTTCAGAATTAGTATTTAAGGTTTTGCAGGACCCCAACAGCAAAAATACAACAAAAATTTCCAGAGCTGCTACTGCTTCTGTGACCTGTTGTATAGAGTATTTTTATCCATGTTTGTCTTGTAAGCACACAATTGTGTAGTGTGAAAATCATAGACTACAATCTGCACGTTTTGAGTCAAATTGGTGTGTATCTCTTAGGATTTGGTGTTAGGGTTCACGGTTATTCTGACACAAATTTGAATGAACTAATTCGCACATTTTGATTCTTTGAATTAATTAATTGAAAATGTAGCACTCCATGAAGTAAGGCAGTTCTTACAATTTTATTGAGTGATCTTAAAAAGCACTTGGACATTTTTAAACTTACATTTTTTTGGTTCTTTGATGGGCATGTTTTAGTTCAAAGAAAATTAAATTTAGGCCAGGGGGGGCGCAAGTTCGAAGAAAATTAAATTTAGGCCAAAGAATAAAAAGTACTCCCTTCGTCCCAATCCCATTTGAGAATCTAAACTTTTCGAGGGACATATAACTAGTGCATTCAAAGCCAATTAATTGATTTCTCAAATTGGCCATTTATAAGGGATAGTTTTGGAAATTTGTAAAGTTTTATGCTTTGACTTTTTAAAGAGGGCTATATTTTAAGACATCCCAAATTTGAAAGGATGACTAACACTGTGGGATGGAGGGCGTATACTGGATTTATTTTTATTTTTATTTTTTTGATAAATAGGAGTATATTGGATTTAAGCATATTTATTCATCTTTTAAGTTTTTTAAAATTTGAAACTCTAAGGGCTTGCTTGGTTTGTTTTTGGGAGAGTTGTTTTTGAAAAAAATTTGAGAGAGTTGTTTTAGAAATTTTTTTGGTTTGTTTGGTTGTATATTTTGAAAGTAGTTTTGGAGTTTGGGAGTTTGGGATGATTTGATATTTTGTTGTAATTGAGTAGATGTGTGTGAGAGAAAAAGTGATTGAAAAGGAGAGAGGAGAGAGAAAAAATGATTGATTGATGTGTAAGAGAGAAAGTGATTTTGGAAATTTTTTGAGAAAAATCTCAAACCAAATAATTTTTTGGAAATTTTTTTCTAAAACTCATCTCTAAAGCTCAAACCAAACATACCCTAAAGCTTTTGCAACTTCCATTGTCGATAAATAGTTGAGACTTCTAAAAGAGACAATAGGGTTTTATATTCCTCCTTTTTTAACATACATGCATACATAAAAAATGAACTATTTGCTTTGATCTTTTGTGGGGCGGTGACGGAGTAGGTGGGTTATTTGAGATGTGTCTTGTTGTGTTTTGAGGCAGTTTCAGGCATTCGGGTGAATTTGAGGAAGTCGGAGATGATCTCGGTGGGGACTGTGGACAGATTATTAGTTTTAGCGGTGGTGTTGGGTTGTAAGGAATCGGCTTTGCCAGCTAATTATTTGGGTTTGCCTCTGGGGCAACGTTTAAGGCCAAAGGGGTATGGGATGGAGTGCTGGAGTGGATTCAACGCTGGCTGGCAGGTTGGAAACGACAATATCTTTCCAAAGGGGGTAGGCTGACTTTGATTAAGAGTGTGCTGAGTAGCATTCCGACGTACTTTATGTCCGTGCATGTTATTCCTGTGTCGGTGGCACGGCGGATAGAGAAGCTCCAGCGAGATTTTCTATGGGGCAGTGGGGAGATGCTTTCCATTATCATTTGGTGGATTGGGGGCGGATTTGCCAACCAAAAGAGGTCGGAGGATTGGGGGGTTCGGAGTCTGGTTATGTTCAACAAAGCTTTGTTGGGTAAGTGGCTGTGGCGTTTTGCATTGGAGCCGAACCGAGTGTGGAGACGGGTGGTGGCTAGTAAGTATGGTTTGGGTAGGAGGGAATGAGGGTCAGGGGAGGTGGTTGGTTCTTATGGGTGTGGTTTATGGAAAGGTGTTGGTTTGAGTCAAGTGGAGTTTTGGTAGAGGGTGAGGTTTCGGCTAGGTGATAGGCGGATGGTGCATTTCTAGAAGGATAGATGGTGTGGTGAGGCATTGCTGACGGATCAATTTCCTTTGATTTTCAGAATGGCAGGGGAGTAGGAAGTTATGGTGGCATCATATTTGCGGGTTGGGGATGTGGTGGTTTGGGATATTCATCTGTGACGGCCGGTTTAGGATTGGGAGGTGGATCAATTGTTAGATTTATGGGATTTTTTGTATGGGTTGGAGGAGACTGGGGTGGGGGAAGATGTTTTGGGGTGGAATGTTGTGGGGATTAAGCGGTGTTTCTCTGTTTCGTCTTACTACCGGAACTTGGTGGGGGAGGTGAGGCGCGATTTCCCTTGGAGGAGTATTTGGGTCCCGGGGGTTTGTTCTAAGGTTGTTTTCTTTATATGGACGGCGACTTTAGGACGGAATCTCACGATTGATAATCTGGTGCGACGCGGTCATTTTTTAGTCAATCAGTGCTGTATGTGTTGCCCTGACGCGGAGTCGGTGGATTATTTGTTTTTGCATTGTCCGGTGCAGTGTTTTTATAGGCTCAAGGCGAGGCGCAGGTTTTATTGAAGTAAGGCGCACAGTCTTAGTAAAAAATAAAAAAATTAACATGGACTAATCATTCACAGTACTAAGGCAGTTTTTTTTAAAAATAAAAAGTAATCAAGATTCAAGACAAATTATAGAATAATTCTCAAAGCCATGAAAGTGCATATTACATAGCATTCCAATTTTCAAAGACAAAATAATCCATATTCAAAAAAAAAAATAATCCATAAAAAAAAAAAAAAAAAAAAAAAAACATAAACACTAAATATCCAAAACATAAATATTCAACAAATACTAATATATGTCTTAACACTTCAAAACATCAATATCACAAGGAAGGGTAAGTTAGGTCAGTCAATCATCATCCTCAACATCAATGGCAAGCAAACTATCATTTTCTTCTCCGTCAATTGATTTATATCCCTCAACATCTTCCTCCTCCGTGTCATCTGAGCCCGCCTCCTCCTCATCTATTAATTGAAGTGGAGTTAATCTTGATGATTTAGATATTCTCAGTTGTGCCTTTGAACGTGAACTAGTTGCTCTACTTGCATGACTACTTTCTTCTACTCCAGAAGCTTTAGCAACAGTGGCCTACGTCAAGCCATTGTCATCATCAAACACTGGCTCATTATCTTCATCTGATTCTCCATCTATCCTCCTAAGCAACCACTCATTGCTTTCATCAATATTTTACAAAGATATGGGATCAAGAGTGTTGCGCATGTCATATCTAAATCTCAATGTTCTATTATATTTGACAAACTCTAAATCATTGAGACGTTGCTCCAATCTATTTCTTTTTTTGCTATGAAGCTGCAAATATTAAAAAGATATTAAATTATATATAATGAGAATAAAAAATATTTGAATTCACCAAAAATTAATTAGAATGTTAAATACTCACATGTTCAAATACACTGTAATTTCGTTCACAACCCGATGTACTACATGTTAGGCTAAGGACTTTTATGGCAGAAGTTTGCAAGTTTGGGATTTTAGAACCATATGATGCCCACCAAGTATTGAGTTTTACTAAAAGTATTACTAAAAATAAACTCTGTGAGTCTATAATATAGTACTTGGTGCCCTTGCATTTCTTTGCCTAATCGCAACAGGTTTGCCAAAAAGGCTCTCAGCCTTCGTATAAATATTCATCTCATTAGTGATCAAATCTTGAACAGTGACATCCGAGACCAACCTTTGCATGTATTCATAAAACCCATTCATCACTTCATGATCTTTTTGCACCTCTAACGCTTTTGGGTAAAAGAATTCTGGGTTAAGAAAGTGTGCAACTGCATGTAAAGGCCGATGCAATTAGATTTCTCACATTTTGTCGATGATTTTGAAGATTTCATTATATTTTTCTTCTTTATGATCAAATGAACTTGCAATGCATTCTTTTGCTCTATCCATTGCCTCATAAATGTATCCCATGGGAGGTTTCTTCTTGGTATCAACTAATCTAAGCACTTTGACGAGAGGACCTGAGACCTTAAGGGCAAACACAACAGTATTCCAAAATGAAGGCATCAACAAAGTTTGTGCCATTCTTTTACCTTGTGGCTCTTTTGCCCATTTACTTGAGGTTCAGTCTTCGGAGGTGACCATCTTTCTCAAATTGTTTTTTTGTTGATGTATCCTAGACAAAGTCAGAAAGGCGGTTGCAAATCTAGTTTTTGCAGGCTTGATCAAATTCTTCAGATTTGTATAGCGCTTCATCATGTTTAGCAACGTAGACTGGTTGTAAATGTAGCCATGTACTGGAATATCCCTTTCAAATGTCTTTTTCAGTTGGGGTATCTTGAAAATGTCTTCTAATATTAAGTTCAAGCAATGAGCAGCATATGGCGTCCAATACAAGTGTTCATACTTGGCTTCCAAGAGCCTCCCTATGATGTAACAATTACAAATAATTATTATTTTAAATTTTTTAAATTTTAAATACAAAACAAACTATGAGCAAACAATTTTGAAGTAAGGAGGAAAGATTCTTACCAGCCAACACATTAGCTGTAGTACTATCAGTGATAACTTGCACCACATTTTTTTATCCAACTTTCTCCACAAACTTGTCTAGTAATTCAAATAGCTTTTGCCCATCCTTTGAATAACTAGAAGCATCAACCGACTCAACAAACATGGTTCCTCTTGGACAATTTGCTAAAAAGTTAATCGATGTCCTCCCTCTCTTATCAGTCCAGCCATCAGCCATTATGGAACACCCGTATTTTGCACAATACTCTTTATGATTCATCATCAAATCTTCAGTATGTTTCACCTCTTCATGGTAAGTTGGTGGCGTCATACCGGGACCATATTGCCCAATGGCTTCAATCATTGGTCCAAAACTCTCATAATTTACTGTATTAAAAGGGATACCAGCATCATACATACACCTTGCAAATCTTTGCACTGCCCGAGCTCTCATTTCTTTTTTGTAAGGGTCATTCTCATCAATTTTTGTTTGCTTCCCTTTTGCTTGGTCTCTTCGATTTTTCACCACTGATTCAGGATTGGGTGTGAAGTAAACATCCATAGACCTTTTTCTCTTTGGCATTTTTGAGTTGGATTTGGATGAACCTTGGCTGCTAATTGTCAACTTACGGCGTTGCTTGACATTGATCTCAACAACATCATCATCTTCATCTTCATCTTCTATGTCCTTGTCCATGTCATCTAAATCAGGCAACATATTCATTTCTTCTTTTTGTGTCTTCTTTTTTGACATGAACTCTCTAATCTCTTCTCTTACATGAGCTGGACACTTCGGGCAAGCAGTGACATTTCTATAACCTCTCGCGAGGTGTTGTTTCACTCGATAAACACCTCCATTTGATACTTTATCACAAAAATTACACTCAAACTTGTTTAAATTATTGGGCTCTATCAAATGGGCATGTTGCCACGTCGGGAAGGTTATAAAAATGGGCTCAATACTTGGTGAAGAAGCATCACAGTGATGAAGAAGCAGAAGGCAAAAAAAAAAAGAAAAGAAAAAAAAAGAGAGACGAGACAACAAGAAGCAGACGACGAAGAAGAAGAAGAAGAAGAAGAAGACTAACTTGTAGCTGAAGCTAAAGTCGAAGTTGAAGTCGAAGTCGCAATCGTATTGAGCTGCAGGCTGTGTGAAGAGAAGAGACGACACTGGAAAATTTTAGGGCTTTGACTCTCGTATGTGTTGTGTGAGTTGCAATTGTATGTGTTGGACCTATTCAAACCGAGATCAGAGCCATCGATAAGCATCAGGGGGCAAAAAAAAAAAACAAAAAGGCACACTTAAGCGTCGCCTTGCGCCTGTTCGCGCTTGGCCCAAGGCTCGGCCAAGGCGCGCGACTCATCTACCTCGCCTCACCTTGGGTCTCTTCAGTCGCCGAAGCTGCGCCTGGATGCGCCTTGCGCCTAGGCACGCCTTTCATAACATTGGTCTGGTGGCTAGTCATCTGTGGGGACTCATGTGCTCTCTTTTTGGGATGGCTTGGGTTCAGCCGCGCAGAGTAGTGGATATGTTGTGGAGCTCGGGGTGGTCGACTTCGGTGGCGTGTGTGGTCATTGGTGCCTTTCTGTTTGATGTGGTTGGTTTGGTTGGAGCGCAACAGGCGAACTTTTCAAGAGTTCCACCACAGTGTTTCGTGGCTTGAGAGTCGTCTTCTTACAGTCTTGTATAGTTGGACGGAGGAGAAAGTTGATCCTGATTTGTTTGCGTTGTTAGATTTTTTAGATGTTATAATTGGTTAGGTTTTGGTTGTTTCCTTTGCAGTCTTGCATTCTTTGCATCATCTTGATGCTTCAACAATAAAGTTTAATTTATTTATCAAAAAAAAATAAAAATAAAAATAAAAAATGAACTATTTGCTATTTTTTCATATAATATGAGAGACTTATTTACTATTTGAAAAACATGAATAATTTGTTCTTATTTTCATAAGTTTCTATACATACATCACACGAATATCTAGATACTTATCTCTTCAATTGTCCTTGCCATTTCTGAGTTATAATTGTTTGAAAATTGCATGGTGGCCTATCAGTATTGTTTCATATCTTTGTTTTGTTTCCATAAATTTTCACCAAGTTACCAAGCATGTGTTGAACATAGTTCTTTGATCCATGACAGAGGTCGTTGTCTAATGGGAAACCGACCAGAAAAGCCCATGGAGCATCTTCTGCAAGTCCTAGTTCAGCTCCATCAAGACGAGGTTCTGACAAGAGAAGGATTTCTACTACCATGGTACTCATATTTTTCCACATTCACCTACTTTATGATGGCAAAAGCAGTTAATGCTGCTTGTATGTAACTGTTTTTCTTCTTAAGAAGTTGCAATTTAGTAGTTTTGGTACATAAGAACTTATGAGGTACCCAAAAAAAACACTAGAAATGTACCACAACAGGCCATACAATATCTCAACATAGACTATATTAAAGCAAACCAAACCAAACCAAACCAAACCAAACCAAACTAAACTAAGCCCTATGTCCCAACCAAGTGGGGACTGTGGAGTTGGCTACCTGAATCATTTTTTGCCATTTTGTCCTATTAAGGGCTATATGCTTAGTTAAATTAAATAAATTAATATAATTTTCTTACTATTGCATCCCATGTCAAGTATGAAATTTTAAATTTTCATTGTGTCTAGTCTTATTTCTGCTTGTTCATGAAGGGATATTATTTATTTGTGCTGTTATATTGTTTATACATGTGGATTATGCATAAAAGCAGTAGTATATACTGGTTTGGATTATCTTTTAATTTTTTTGTATTTATCCCTAGTTTTTCTCTAGTTGTAGTTTTGAATTGCATATTCTTCTTTTGCTTGTTTGAAGTTGATTTCTTTGTTGGGGTTGAACTTGGTTCTTGGGGGAGGATCTGTGCTTGCGGTGGTAATGATAGATGTTGTAGTATTTTACAAATTCTACTCTTTTTGTTGGCTAGATGGAGGTTGACATTTACATATATTTTTTCTTGTGATTTGCTTATTAAAATTTATTTATTTATTTGTTGTGATTCTGATATAATGTTTACTTCCATGCATGTAAAAAAAATAAAATTGTGTTTTGATTCTGATTTGATGTTTATTTCCATTTACATTATAAGCGTTGTTTATGTTTTACCCTTGTTTGACTACTATGGAAATTGGTGAAGAGATATCTGTGTATTGTTTAAATTATTAGTATATGTTGCACAAGGCAACTAGGATGAATTGAATCAATTGTTTATTACTTGTTTTGTTATTTTCATTATGATAATATAGCTACAATAACTATATTATTCTGTACAAATTACATACAGTTTCCTGTATCAAGAACGCACGTAAATGTGGAGTTGCTGTGCTAATTGCTGGCTAAAGTTATTGATTCTTTTCCTTTTGTAACTTATTATGTTATTGTATTAGTGCTTTCGGGAGAATCCTGTCTTGATTTAGGTTCAGGCCATTCTCTGATCCTTCATTGTTTGCTGCACCTTATTTCTCCAATGTGAAGTCATATTTGTTCATATACCTGTCTATGATAAAGCATAGGTGAGATGGAAGTGTTGTTAACTTTTTCTTCTATCTGATTGACAGTATGTTTTAAGGGATACTGCAAAGAGTACAAGTGCCAAAGACAAATCAACATACATTTTGGTTCCAAAACAAGATGATCGGCAGCTTTCTGACAAGTCTGTTGCTATTGCTGCTGCATCTGGTGCTGAAGTCTCAGAAGAGGAAAGTGGTATGACTTATTTTTTGGATGCTTAATTGATCAGTGCCAAAGCACATTTTTTAGTTGACATTGTAGCTTGTATCTGCATGTGTGTGCGTACATAAAGAGACTCGGTTTTAGATTTTAACTGTCCATGGGCAGACTTATAAGTTTTAGGGGCGTTAAATAAAATTGATTACATTATTATTGGCTTTACTTTATCGGTAACTGTGGCGGTGACTTTGGGGGGGGGGGGGTTTGTTCTGTGGTTGGTTTGGTTGGAGCGCAACAGGCGAACTTTTCAAGAGTTCCACCACAGTGTTTCGTGGCTTGAGAGTCGTCTTCTTACAGTCTTGTATAGTTGGACGGAGGAGAAAGTTGATCCTGATTTGTTTGCGTTGTTAGATTTTTTAGATGTTATAATTTTTTGAGCAACAAAAAAACTGTCTGTGTTGCAGAAATTGGAGGAATTGTTTGAATTACAGGTTGAAATCTTGGGAAAGTTGAATGTGCAAGAGAGGGTCTTCCCTATTAATGTGTAGGGTCCAACAAAAACTTTGCAAAGTAGCTGCAATTTGTCCAAAAGGGACAATGAGCAAACCTTCGCAAGATTGATCCCTTTGCCTTGGTTAAGGTCTGTAGCCCATACATTTCATTGATTGACAGTTGTTTGATCCCGTTTTAACTTCTGGTCATCGTCTAACTATTGGCAAGGTGGAGGGGCTCATTTTAGCTTGCATTATGGCTTAAATTGGAGTTTAAAGTGAGCTTTTTATATATAGGATCATATTAGATTAAAGAGTGGCTATTGGAAGATATTTTCCTGTCAAATAATGATGTTTTAATGATTCAAATATGTTATGTGATACACATTCATGCATAAGCACACAGACATGCCCACATGATATGTGTGTGTGTTTGTTTATGAAAGGTGTATGTAAGTATGGAGATTCATGCACATATGGTACCTGCATACATACACCTTTCACAAATTTTGTTACCAACTCATCACCTGGGTTACATGGGCTGGGGGATACTGATGTGTATATAGGGGTTAGACCCATCAAATCTCAAATTGAAGGATACATGGATTCGACATAAAAGGATCTCAAAATTAGATACGGGTATGTGCAATGTTATTCATGCAAGAGGCGCACTAAGGCGCCAAGGTCTTTTGGTTGGGGCCTAGGTGCAAGGTGAGGCCCGGGCTAGATATTTGGCACAGTTTTTCTGTTCTTTTTTTATTATTTTATTTTAAGTATGAGAAATTTATTGTGTGTTTTATCTAACCATATATGCACCATTGTTGTTTTACTTGAGATTATTGCACCACATCAACAATTTCAAACGAAGTAAATTTAAATTAAACAATTAAAAACAGTTAATCAATTAAATATTTAAATAAATTAAGTAAATAAAATAATCAATTAAGCAAATTAAGTTTATGAGAAATTTATTATGTGTTTTATCTAACCATCTATGCACCATTGTTGTTTTACATGAGATTATTACCAAGGCTTGCACCACATCAGCAATTTCAAATGAAGTAAATTTAAATTAAACAATTAAAAACAGTTGATCAATTAAATATTCAAATAAATTAAGTAAATAAAATATTCAATTAAGCAAATTAAGTTATTTAACAATAAGCACTTAGATAACAAATTACTAAGTTTGTTAAAATCGGGAGCCTATGTTGGATCGTTGGAGGTGTTTATAGGATCGGATCGTAGAATCAGATCAAGGATTGTAAGATTCTACCGAAAAAGACAAATTACATAATAATTTAATTTAAATAAATATTTTTTAAAAAGTATATACAAAATGAGCCTATATTCTATTAAAAAAAAGTGAAGATATTGTGAAGAATATAATACTCTATGTAAAATGTATATGTAATATTATACAATAGAAAACTTGGTAAAAGTTTTGTATTTCATCATAAAAGAAGGTGAAGAAGAAGAATTCTATAACAAAATACTTTATTATCTACAATAATGCATAAAAATACTTTATTATCTACAATAATGCATAAAAAGTGAAGAAAAAAATATTTAACAAAGTTGGATATGAAAATAGATTAAGAACTCAAAAGAGCAACTTAACCGAATGACAAGGTTTGTTGTTAGCGTCCCTGGTGGAGCGGATTCGAGTTACAAAAATAATCTCTCCAAAAATTGGAATAAAGTTGTAATTGCTAAAGCTAAGTTTGTTTTTTCGACTAGTTAGTTTTCTTAAGTTACCGTAATATTTGAATGTTTGTTTCCTAGTTTGTTTTTCTTAGTCTATTTGATTCAATATTACTTAATTTTTATTATTTATTTTGACCACATAAATTGGTATTTAGACAACAAACATAAATTTTATAATAAAATATGTCATACAATACAAAACAAGGCTTGTAAATTGGATCGGATTTGGATCGGGATTCTACGATCCTATAAGATCCCATTATCAGGATCGAAAGATCCTACCTATAAGGAATTTTTTACACGATCCGGATCAATTGTACTCAAATGGATTGTAAGATCATAGGATCGTAAGATCCGGATTGGGATTCTGATAACCGTGCAAATTACTCTGAGGCCATTGTCACTGTCTAGAGGGGGGAAAAAGTAAAACAAAGAATGATATGTATGGCAAAATATAGAAGAAGTTTAGGTATTTATATTTAATTTGTTATCTAGGGTTGTGGCTATCTATTTATTTGGGGTTTTTTATGATAGGATGTCAACAACTTATGAAATTGTAGTAGACTTCATTAGATCAAAGGATTGATATCACATCTTTAACAAATTAGGAAAAATTGAACAAAGTGTATGCCTCTTTGCACCTTGCACGCCTTGAGTGCCTTGGCTGTGCTTAATTAAAGTTGCCTCACTTCATTGGTATTGAGGCACCTCAAGTGTGTCTTACACCTAGGCTCACCTTTGATAACATTGGGTGCATGGATATGTTGTCTAATTGGGGGGAAAATTAATTAATTTATATATGAAAAAAGTAAAATACCATATACGAGTCTGCCAAAAGAAAATGGCATAGAAGCCCAGTACCAAAATGAGTTACATGCTACCCACTCCTAGTTCAACATGGATACAAAACAGACCACATAATAGCCCATGCCATCGGAGGAAACAATAGATGTTGCATTGTTGCAATGGATCAAAATTTTCTTCACTTGGTCAGTGTAAGTTGTTTGTTGACCAGGCTAGAAAACACCATGGATCTGATAATGATAAATGTACAGAAAAGTAACACGTGGCGATTATAGATTTACATGTGCAATTCCCTCCATCTCTCATATGTTAGATCTCTCTATCCTTTCTCTTTGTAATCTGCAACCATCCCCTCCCCTCTTTTTAAGGGCAAACACAACAGTTTTGAAACTCCCTTTTTCTGATCTCCCTCACCCCCCACCCTCTCTGATTTGCTTGTTCGGCTGACCCTCAACTCTCCCTCATCCCCTCCTCCTTCCCTTGATACCCTAATGCATGGCATGATTGTAGATGATGACAAAGTATGGGTTGAGGTGTGTTTGTTGAGTGCTAGGTCTAGATTGACGGCATCAACTTGCATAAAGTAATGGGCTCATCTTGGTTCTCTAGAGTTCTCTCTATGATTTTTCTCCTTCTCAAATCCTTGCAATAAAAATTGGCTTTGACTTGAACTTTTTTGTCCTCGTCAATGTGCAAACATACGATCAGTGTTATTTAAGGCAAGAGGCTCACTGAGGCACAAAGGCTATGAAGCACGGGTACTTCGAAAAATATGCCGTACCCGTACCGGGTACTTACCGGCGTACCGTACCTCGTATGGTACTTCTGCATACGTACCGGATACACGAAACACGTACCCAAGTTTTTTCTTCTTAATTTTTAACGTACCCAGACGTATCTATGATTTTTCTCCTTCTCAAATCCTTGCAATAAAAATTGGCTTTGACTTGAACTTTTTTGTCCTCGTCAATGTGCAAACATACGATCAGTGTTATTTAAGGCAAGAGGCTCACTGAGGCACCAAGGTCTTTTGGGGCCTAGGTGAAAGACGCGAAAGATGCGGGGTGAGGTGCGGGCTTCGTCGAAGCAATTATGGATATTTTGCTTAGTGTTTTACGAGTATGAGAAATTTATTGTGTGTTTGATCTGCCCTATGCTAACCAACGAAACATTGTTACTTTACACGAAATTATAACCACCAAGTACATTACTTGTGCTTAAAAGCTTGCACCACATCAACAATTTCAAATGAAGTAAATTTAAATTAAACAATTAAAAGCACTTAAACAATTAAATGAATAATTAGGCAATTAAATATTTAAACAAATTTGGTAAATTCAATAATCAATTAAGCAAATTAAGTCATTTAACAATAAACATTTAGATAACAAAATTATTGTTTGGCCATTGTCATTGTCTAGAGGGGGAAAAAAGTAAAACAAAAAATGATATGTAAGCCAAAATGTAATGGTTTAGGTATTTATCTTTAGTTTGTTGTTTAGCGTTAAGATTATCTATTTATTAGGGGGGTATCCTACACCTATGTTGGTGTAGTCATCGTGTCGACATAGGTACTTGAGCAATTTTGGCAAGTCTGTGTAACACAGTTCATCACCAGCAATCAAAGCTTTTATTGTGTTATTATTTCCACGGCCAACCATCGTGTGATTTCAAATAAGCTAACTCTATGCTTTTTATAGAATTATGATCTTTTCAATTGGGAGAGCCTTTAAGCTTAGGAAAGAATGTTGTTCTGGAAGCATTTAGTAGGTTTTGGTAAATAATTACGAAGATTACGATGTAATTTAAGAGTGAGTATCGGAAGAATAAGATTCTGAAATCCAAACTCACTGGGAGTAGTATACAGGAGGCGTACCTCATTAGTAGAGTGATTAAGATTCATTCAACAGGTTACCACTGCCTTGTGTAGGGGTTTTGGCTGCTCTGTAAGAGAGAGAGAGGAGGGAGGGGGCTTGGTTTAAGGTCTTCATTTGAAGCTGAAATACTAAAGCATTGCAAAAGATTGCCTTTTTGGATGCATACCAGATCACCAATTAAAGCTACAGGTGCTGTTGGGGAATCTTAAGAACTGCTCTAGTTGAAGAGAAAGGAGAAATAAATTTGTCTTCATACAAAAACCTATACCATTTAGTGCACATTTTGGTTTGAATGCTATTGTCAATTATTTTTCTTTCTGTGCAATTGGCTGCTGTTGGTGAAAAAATTGGTAATTGTTCACATTACATATTTTGAGTAGGCAAATTAATAGTTGGTTCCCCTGTTAAGAATGCATAATTTTCTGTTCATTGTAAATTTGTGTGATGACTACACTAGAATGAGTATCATTGGTTTCTTCAATTTTTGTTTCTGTTTCACTGATACGTAACTTAAATCAATTTATCCATCAGTAATTTTGTATACCTTTGATGTTTCTGTTTCAGGAATTTCTGGAAGCACTGATACTGGGAAGAAAAAGGTCCTGCTTTTGAAGGGGAAAGAGAAAGAAATTCCTTATGTAAGCCTTTCCGTTTTTTGCAATTTCCCCTCCCCACAAGAGTCTGAGGCCCTAGGTTCTTTTCATTTCTTTCAACAGTTTTACATAGTAGTGGGATGGTGTTAATTTGATCTATTTATAAGATGTGAATGGTTGATTTTTGACCAATGCAATAAATGGAAATAAAGAAAATATTAGTAGTGGAATATAATGTTGGAAATGGAAATGCAAGCAATAACTTGTAAATAGTCATCCCTTTTGACCCAATCTGACTGCATTAGAATAACTCTGTCTGCATCACAAACTAATGCAGGAACTTCCCTCCCTCTCCACCACTCATTTGCTTGCTAATTCTTTGCAGATGAATTATTTTTCCACTTATTTTTTGAATTATATATCCAGCATTTTTTTTGGGCATCCTTTCTGTTTCGGGACAATGACATTTAGTCATTTATAGGGAATTCAAGTTGTTTTCAAAGAAGCAGGAGCTATGGACATAAGTATTAAGCCTTTGCACTTGATGTAATTAAAGAGTTGCTTTTATTCCTCAAAATCAGTAGTCTGGAAGTGTTCTTACAAAAAACTTATGGAAAAGCTTTTTTTGATAAGTAAATTTGTATTAAATAGTGCTAGAAGGGACACAACCTTTGTACAAAGAGATATCTGTATGTCAAAAACGCATGTGGAAGTACTTTTACAAAAATTATATTATATTTTTTTTCCATAAGAAACATCGTATTATATAGCGCCAGAAGGGGCACAACCTTTGTACAAAGAGATATTTGTATCAAAAAAGCTCAACATGAAAATTTATCCTTGCCTCACAAAAGTTCTTCTACTCCAAATAAGGATATTGAGACCTCATATGATATTGAGACCTCAAAAAGTACACGCTAAACTACTCCCTCTCACATGAGTGGTGGAGAACCCACACCATGTAATGATGTGGGTCTCACTTCCCATGTGAGTGGAGAGCAATTTAGTGTCCCTAGCAATGCTGCAGGGTTATATCCACTGCCATCATTCTACTGTGTTAGTTTTTGTCATGAATAATGCAGTGAGAAATAAAATACACATACACCTAACATGGTGTAAGAATTTCAAGAAAAAGAATTTGAATGCCTTCTAATTGTGCTTTGGCAATTTTATAAAGTGAGATAATATATGTCATGATTAAAAAAAGAGAAACAAGCATGTGGGTCTTTGATACACTTTAAATCTGTGGTTTAGGACCTATATAATTTGCACTATAGCAGACATGAAATACAATCACAAGTTGAAATCTTGGATCCATAAGTCACGCATGTTATGCATGGTAACCTTGTGGTCCTTATTGAAGCTGAAAATCAGCAAGTAGTAGTGGCTGGCAGGAAGGAGAGCTGTGGATGTCTGTGAGGAACATGTCATCAACTAGTTGTGTCATGAATCGTGAGACTATGCCATAATATGTTTCATTCTTTTCCCGTTAGCATCTTCTTTCTTTACCCAAAAAAAATTTGAAAAAAAGTCTAGGTTACCAAAGGGAAGAGGTGGATTATGGGCTAGTGTTACTGCTTAAAAGTGGGATGATGACATACCTGAACTTGACTTGGGTTAAATTTTTTAGCCTGCCCATACCCAGATTAAGTGCTGACTAAATCCATGCCACAAGCCATGAGAGGATAGGATGGGGCTAGCTACTGTATATAGGCCCTGCACCATTGCCATCCCCAATCTGGACCAATGAGTTCGACTGAGAATCTGCTATTAATTCAGCTTTGGTTCAAAACATCTAATTAGTATGCCAAGCAATTTACATGTAGATGCCGTATTGAATTTACACTCTTGCCTCTTCATACATTTGGGATGTATCCATCATATTTGTTGGAAATACAATTTCTCTGGTTCATGATTACAGTACCAAACAACTACTTCTTGCTGATATTCTCATCCCTACTACAGGTGTCAGGTGGCATGTCATTGCAGCAGAGTGCATCATCTGTTAAAAATTCACTTGGTTCAAGTGGTTTCAAACAGAATCAGCGACGTGAACCCAGTGGAAGGATAATTAGAAGCATACTTCTAAACAAGGATGCACGTCAAAGTCAATCATCATCTGTAGTCCGTTCTGAACAGAAAATTCAGGCCTCAAATCTCGAAAAGGACAAAAGACCTCCTCGACCTCAAAATGTCCAGCATTTCTTCAAGGATACGAATGGATCACTGGAAGATAATGTCGTTGGGAATGGTTTGCATGGTGTTTCCAGTGAGAAGCAGGAGAAACGTACAAGGAACAAGGATAGGCCTGATCGTGGTGTTTGGACTCCTCTTCGCCGTTCAGATGGATCACATGCTAGTGATGAATCTTTATCATCTTCAGCTTCTCAATCGACACAGTTACAGCCATATTCTGCTGAAGGTGTGGTCATTACTCAGCTAGAATCCGGAAATCAGTAAAATTGTAGTACTGGAACCCCCCTTGTTTCCATTTGCACACGTTCAAATGGAAATAAGGAGGTGAAATACGGAGTTTACTGCAAACTTGCATTTATAGATGTTGCTTTTTTTTTTTGGATTAGGTATTAGTTGTGATCTTGTTATGTACATATTGTTTTTGTATTTTATTTATTTATTATTATTTTCCAGGAAGTCATGGAGAAGTGAAATTTGACTTGTCAAATGCAAGGAGTGGGGAATTTAAAACTGTTGGAACTGGACGTAGCGGTTTTCACTCACTAGATAATGGTTAGTTTTGCCTTTGGAATCTGAAATATATATGAATATATATCTCTGTAATATAAATCTTCAAACACCTCCCCCTCCAACCCCTTTCTGCTCATCTGATTTGCTTGCATACCACAACTAATGTTGCTACCACTTACCAGGTTCACATAAACATGGTGGCCGCCGGGGGCTAGCACATAATGTGAAGGATTTAGATGGCTCTTCTATCGTAAGTGAAGGGAAGCTATTGAAGAAAGGAGGTTCTTCTGGCTATGGTTCCCATGAGGTGTGCTTGCAATTAAATTTTTGGTTTCAACTTGAGCTATCAGGTTTTTCTATTTGGTCATTTGCTAATCTGATTAGGTTAATTATCTTTTAAATGCAGAAACAAGTGTGGGTTCAGAAGCCAAGTGCTGGTTCTTAATGTTGTTTTAACTGGTAAGCCACTATGCTTTATGAATGACTTCTTTTTCATTTTATATGAATGAAAAATTCATATTGCCAAACCAAAATGCTTGATTGTAAACGATTTCAAAAATTTAGTCATCTGTATACATATATCAACAAATATCTAATACAAGAAAGTTCAATTGTTTAGTGCTTGACGGATTTGTTGACTGATGGAAATAGGCTTTCGTAGACCAGTTTATGAATACATGTCGGAAAGTTGTTCTTTATGGTGACTAGTATTGTGATTGAACTTTTTAGCTGGGTGGAATGTGGGGAATATGGGAAGGGGACTCTAGGACTGAAAGCCTGGTCAGGTATCCGTCCGAGGTGCAGGGAAGGAACACAATTATTTTGTGTGATTTGTGTTGTTGAGCAGCTATCTAGTGTGACTTATTGTTACAATATAGAAGTCTATGACTTTGTTAATCCTGCCTTCCAATTCTTCAAATTTAGGCTTGAACTTTCATGCAATTTTTCTCTTTTCTTTTGCTTTCCATTTTCTCCATCTGATACATGTAGATGGCGTTGAAAAGGTAACTACATATCACAGATTTTTTAATTGGTTTGCCATGCTTGAGAAATGGATGTTCAGAGCCCATTGACGATATCTGGTCGTAAGAGTGTATTTGTTTTTTGTTTTGTTTGTGGTATTGAGAAAGGTGTGTAACCTGAATCTCTAGGGGTCAATTATGCTGTTTACATTAACAAGAGGTAGTGATTGATGTGAATTTGGATCCCTACCTAATGATAATGTGTTGGACCAAAATTCTATCGTGATTGGATTGTGGTGGCATTGGACGGGAAGTTGTCCCTTTAGATTCAAAAGGCTGATGGTGTTTGGGAGAATGCTAGGGGCTGGTGGAGAGGTTATACAGCAGAAGAGAGGCTGAGTTGGTGTTGGCCAAAGTAGTGTCTTTTAAGGAAAAATGTGAACAGAGGTAATATGGCTTCCCAAGGCCCAAGTGTGAGGTGATGAGGATAGGGCTTCATCCAAGTGAGGTGAACGCTATGAATATTTAAAAAAAATTTTATATTCTAGACAAAAGCTTTATTATTTTCAAGAACTATGATGCATCCAATATTCTAAATACTACATATTCATTAAAAACATAAAACTACCAACAAATATCAAAATCCTACAAAAACACAAAAAATCCAACAAAATTGATCAGGAAAATTAAATAAAAAATGACGATTACTCTGTGTGGTGATCTGCCTACGAAGAGTAGTTGGTGATCTACCCGCCAAGATTCCCAAAAGACATTTTTGGTAAAAAAAGAACAAAATATGAAGCAGAGAGAGGAGAGAGGGAAAAAGAGGAGATTAGAAATGTTACTATTTCTTTCTGTCTCATCTAAAGTGCATATTTTCTACATATTTCATGTCCTTGTCCACTAAAGCCTCAAGCTCACTATTCCTACATATTTCATGTCCTTGTTCACTATTCCTTTTGCCGTTGGTAAGAGGCTTGAGAGAATGCAAGGACACTTTCTTTGGGGCTGGTTAGCAGAAGAAATCAAACATTGTTTGGTGGACTTGGAGTGATTATGTACACCTCTTAGAGAGGGTGATCAGTGATTATGAGGATTGGGATTCTCAATCAAGCCCTTTTGGGTATATGGCTTTGGAGAGTTGAGAACGGTAGTGGTTGAATAGTATAGTTCTATATAGGGGTGGGGATTGGTCTTTAGTCGACGTTTCTATGTCTTTCGATATGGGCCTTTGTAAGGGTATCCATCTAGGTTGGAATGATTTATGCTACTATACTATGTAGGCTTAGTGACGCAAGAAACTATGTTGTTGAAAATACCAGAATGTTATATTGTGTATATATTTAAGAAACTATACAATCAATGTATCTTTTTCTACGTGTGTAATTATTAATAATTGTTTTAAGATGTGATAATTGATCTTCTAGTTGTCTCATTTAATTTGTTTGCAGTGAAATTGTTGGTCTTCGACCATATTGGCGTATACATGTATGTGCTAGTGGCTGGAGGCTCTTTGCTAGATGGATGATCAGGTGTTTGCAAATTTAAGGAATTGGAAGACCTTGGAGGAACTCCAGGTACCCTGAATGATGCAGATAATTCATTTATTTACCGTTCAATGCGGTGAATGGATATCGATCTTATTTAGTTGAAGATGGCCAAAAAAAGAGGAATGTAGAGGAAAAGAGATGGCGACATGTGCAAGATATAAAGCGTATATAACACCTTAATTTTCATAAGGCTGTTCATTTAATGGGCTTCCTCTGTTCACAGATGGAGAGTCCTTGTTCTTGCCATTGACTCAACTGGGTATCGGGATATCAGCTTATAGGTGGATTTTGTGTTTTTGTTAGAACTGTAAATATAAATCTGGAATTAGATGTGTACTGCCTCCGTTACTCTCCACATATGCTTTTGTTGAGCGGTAGGTATGTCATATGCCGTTAGTGAGCTCTTGTTTATAGCCCCGCGGTATATAGGCTTTCTTTGTAATTGGCAATCGGGTTTGCGTGAAAGTAGAAAGTTGGGGGCCTGCCTTCGGCTCAGCAGGTATGTTTTTAGGCTTTTGACATATACAAACTGGAGTGACAGTAAAATAGGTGAGGAAATTGGAGTGGGGTGTTGGTAGAAAACTGATGATGTTTGTTTTGGTGTGTTGTGGCAGACGAGGCTGAAATGGGAATATGCATTGATTTGTGCTATGTTAATTGTTTCTAATCGACACTAGCTAATATTTTCAGCCAAGATCTGTGTTTTATTTTTTCTCAATTATTTGTCATTGATATCTTGGAAACCCAACTTCGCCCAAGAATATTGAGAAACTGTTTCTTTGAGATTGTTTTTTGGCTGCTCTATCTTTTGACAATGGTTCGACAACTTTCCATGTTCTTCATGAAGACACTACCCGTTTAGGAGTTAATTATCATGTGCTTGCTGGCCATGACTTTTTTGTATGATTTACATGAGGAACCAATTTTACCTTTTACATTGATTTATTGATGCACATGCACGACACACACATCAAATTACATGCATTTGCAGCAATGAAATTAGTTTTGGTTCGGATGGATTAGACGGCAGTGAGAAGCAAAATGCCTCGTCTTTTGACTGAAAATAAAGGATGGAGTGTGGATAAATGTTGACTGAAGATATTGCAAAGAGAGAAAAAATGTTATGCAATGATGTATAATTTCAACCTTAATGTTACAGGCTCAGATTATCTGACTTACCAAATACTAGAAAATGAAGTGGGTCTCACCAATCCACTATTGGCTGAGAATCTGAGATTAATTCATACGCTAAGGTAAATAATAATGGTAAAATAAATAAATAAATTTGGGCCTAAACAACCTTGCCATACGGCTGCACGGATTAGCTGGGTTGTTCGCTTGCTCGGCATAGTAGTTCGGATCAGCTCAACCACAGAAATTTACCTCACTAAATTTTTAAAATTTTCTTTGGCAACAACCCTTTGAAGTATATGCAACTTTGCCTCTGAAATTTTTTGAATGTCACGTTTACCCAATAAACGTCAGAATTTTACCTGCAGTGCTTTCTGAAATTCCAGTGCCCAGAATATATATATATATATATATGCATTTGGGTAAATTATACTCAAAGGGCATGTTTGATTGTGTGGATTAGAGTGTGGGATTAGGATTATTAATCCGTGGGCCCAATTATCCTATATTTGTTTTAACATTTTTGTTTAGGATTATTAATCCAATGGATAATTAATCCAACAAATTTGTAGGATTATTAGTAATAGGGTAGGGGTGAGATTATTAATCCAATGCATATTAATCCAATTGGATAGTGAATACCACACTAATTTACTAGGACTATTAATACTTCACTATTAATATTGTGAATCAAACATGACCATATGGTATTTGGAGAAAATATATAATTACACTAATTATTTTTGAAAATTTAATTTACATAACAGTTAAGATGTTCACTAGTTCATTAATTGTATAAATAAAAAAAAAATATTTTTATATATTTTTAACAAAAATTTATATTTATTTATTTTTATTTTAGTATTTATCCATTACTGAGATTAATTTCAGTCACTTTAATTAAATTAATTTTTTTTAACGTGATTATACAAAAAAAATGTGAATTTAATTTAATTTTAATTTACCCTACTTATATTGTTGGGACGTGGCTAGTTTTAAACTTCAAAAAGGTCAGCTTCATCGTCTCCTACCAAAATAAATAGGAGTACTAATTTCCAGAAGACATCTCTCTCTCTCTCTTCACAATTATCTGTGTCTCTGGCAGAAGTTGTATTTATTTATTATTATTTTGATGGGGTTGTATACAATTTCAACAAATGTTGTTCTCCAATTCCAATCTCTCTCTCCAAATTTATTTTTGAAATCCTACAGCACCAGAAAACGGTCTTTTTCGGCGCGAAATACCACCAGCACTCAGCCCTCCTCCAATGGTTACCCTTCTCTTCCTACTCCCACTACTCAAAACACATCTCTCCCAGGTCCTCTCTCTCTCTCTCTCTCTCTCTCATAAAATGAAAATGTATATTGAGTAGACCAAGCATATGAGAAATTAAAAGGGGGTCAATTTGGTTTAATCTGGTAAAAAAATAGTGCTATGTCTTATTCCTCCTGTGGAATAAGGATAGTTGAGGGTTGGTTGTGTAGATGGGTGTTGCAATGTTTTAGGGTTTTTGTATTCAATAAAAAAGAAGACAAGGAATAGACTTTTGAGGCCTTGAAGTTGAGGCTCATGATAATGCATTATTTAGACAAGGCAAAACATTATATTTTCATTTTTATCAAGTTTTGGTTCCAATATTTTGAATTGATGTTAAATCAGTCAATTAATTGCACTCCTAAATTTACTAAACATATCATGAGGGGTTATATGATATTTAATTAATTAATTTATAATAATAGTAGCATTGTCCTCGATACAAAATTAGTGTGAGCTAACAATTACTTTAGAGGAGTGCTATTTGCTTTCCTTGATGTTGTGTTTGGGTCATGGAGATTTGAAGGAAATGTTAGTTTAATACCCAAATTAATACCCACATCTATGATCCAAACACAACCTAAGTAATGAGCATGTCATTGTTGTACAGTCTAAAGTTCTTTCATAGCCATGTACCTCTTTGAATTCTGGGCCATTGTTGATCCTGTACCTAGCATTGACGTCCTTATCCACAAATCCGTTTGGTTTGTGGAAACCAGAAAATCCTTGATTGCAGAAATGTTTGAGAAGGAAGAGGTTACTGTAAACATCTGTAGGGAACCTCATTGTGTGTGATTGTTAGATCTGTATGTATTCCTCGATCTGCTTTCTACAAGGGCCATTGCCTGTTTAGGAAGCTTATGGTCTTCTAGTGCTTCTTGTAGCCCCTCTTAGGACTCTCTGGTTGGTGTGGCAAGTTATGATGCAACTAGATTAGATATGTGGGAAATGTTTTTTCGATTGGCATCGGGGTGTTCAGATCAAAACCCGACTAATCCCTAGGGGTGCCCAGGTCCTCAGCACGGTTAATTTAAGGGTTTTCTCCTAGTGGGAAATGTTAAAAATAAACTATTGCCCAATTTAATTCATTCGTGATTTGAAAATTTCATAGGGAAATAAAATAATTCCAAAACCAAATTTTGCACATTTTAGTCTAAGATTTGGCCTTCATGATAGTGGAATGATTCTTCAGAGTTTAAATTGCTTCCTTAGCATTATTTAGGTCCTCTAATTTAAATGAACACTTTGTCAAATTATCTGCAGGCAAGCCAGAGGCAGATGTTGTTGTAATTGGAAGTGGAATTGCTGGACTATCTTGTGCAGGACTTCTATCTAGATACCAGCAAGATGTTTTAGTGTTAGAAAGCCATAGTTTGCCTGGGGGTGCTGCTCACTCGTTTGAGAAAAAGGGCTACAAATTCGACTCTGGTCCATCGTTGTTCTCCGGATTCCAATCAAGAGGTCCTCAGGCTAATCCTCTAGCACAAGTAATTTGTTCTTTTCATATCACCTTACTTCTTACGTAAATGCAGTCTTATCTAAATATAGGTGGTATTTAGGATCTTGCTGCTGATAACAGCAATTAACTCCACTACATAGCATTTACTGGGGTCTGGTTGTACTCTATAGACAAGAAAAGCTCATATTTAGTTTGGCTTCTCTCAAGTTGTCATCTCAACTTGAGAGAGTATTTGGGCTTAGTAGGCCCATTTTGAAACCGATTTATATAATCAGAACCGTTCACTTTTTATGACTTATTAAGTAGAATATTCATGCAAAAAATTAAGATGATTGGACGTCAGTAGTTATATGTTTGAATCATATTTGTTTTAAAAAATTGGATGACAAATATAATTTCAAGAATAGCCATTTATTTTTTGTAATACAAATTTAATTCAAACATATAGATATAGATATTTGATCATCTTGACTTTTTGCATGAATATTCTACTCAACAAGCCCTAAAAAGTGAAAGGTTCGAATCACCAAAATTGGTCCCAAAATGGGCGTACCAAGCCCAATGCTTTCTCAAATTGAGATGGTCAACTTGAGAGAAGTTAAACCCTTTAAAGTATTTGAACTATTGAGTGGCTAGAAGCTGGCCTATAGCTTGCAACTATATCGACTTCCATTAGTGATATGCAAATATGCCCACATGAAAATACACCCACACATCTATAAAAGAAAAATACAACTGAAAAATGACTGAAATACATCCTGAGGCTCTTTTTATTTAGTTATTACCTTTTCAATTCTACATTGGACAACTCAATTCATCATAATTTATGTGATGGACAATTAATAATATAATGTTGCACATGATGACATATATACATATTTAAATATTTTCTGAAGTTCTTCCTTCAATAATGTAGTTCATGATAATATTTTATGTATATATATTTGAAATCCTCTCTTTAATTATGCCAAAGATATTTATTTATCTAAAAAAAAAAAAATGCAAACAACCGACTCTTCAAAAAACTTAAGCTAATAATAGAAAGGGTGCAACTCAAACATAAGCTGATAGAGGGGATGCAACTCAAGTACTAGTATCATTAATAAAAAAAAGAGAATTTGAAGTGGGAAGGAGTGGTAGTGAGCGCCTTTTTGCTGAGGTTAGTTATGACTGCTGGAAGGGCTAAACCTAGTGAAAGCAAAAAGAATGCAGCAGCAAGATTTATCTCCTTGCTGCGTGTTCAATCGCTTGAAAGGAAGTTCTTCGCTGTTGGGCTATTTAGTGTGGAAATGAATAAAATGAATATAAACAAACTGTGTGCTTGCAACAAAATGAAAGAATTAGTCATGTGGGAATTTAGATTACCAAGCAAATAAACATATTCTGCACTTCTCTATGGGATCTACAATTATTTAAAATTTTAACTTTTCATTTCCTTATCCATTCATCAAATTCTATCTAGCTATTCATCATCACTGTTGATGGTGAAATGCCAAGCTGATTTTTGGCAACAATTTTGAAAGAAAAATGCCTAAGACCCCCAGTGGGGGTCACTGGGGGGTCGTGTGTGTGGGAAGGTGATTGGCCCAAAAAAAAAAACTGTTTTTTTTTTTTTTTCAGCAAATGGGGCGGCACCACGTCATTGGGGGTCGACCCCCACTGGGGGTCTGAAGCACGGCCCATTTTGAAATTCAATGGACTGCATTAGTAATTGATCACAGCAGGTGGTTGACTATTTAGTGAAGGGCAGGATTGATTCTACTTCTCAATGGATGTTGTACTTTCTTTGTGGAATACATTTTATGTCATTGCATTGGCATCATTAAACCCAATGCCTTGTGTTGCTTCATTCCCATTCATTCTCATTAATTAACCTTGTTATGTAATCTGTGATTGAAGCTATGAGACCTAAGCCGACCCCATTTGATGGGACTTAAGGCTTGGTTTGGTTTGGTTTGGTTTGGTTTATGTAATCTGTGATAGCATATTTTCTGTCTATTTCATCTATGTAAGAACTTTTTGATGGACACAAGAATATTTGGTGGTGTATGGTACTTGTCTTTAACAATCAAGTGCATGCTATTTCCGAAGGTTACTGTAGAAATTGACAAAGTAACGATTAATGGATCTGTCTCTTTTTAGCATAGATTCTACTTGGAAGCTGCAAGAAGTTAGATTCGTGGACTCCATTGGAAAAAAATATAATTACTGCATCTGTTCTATTTTCAGGTTTTGGATGCATTAGGTGAGTCAATTCCTTGTGCCAATTATGACTCTTGGATGATTTACTTACCTGAAGGTGACTTCTTATCACGCATTGGACCAACTGAATTTTTTAAGGTGGACACTCAATATCCACTTCTGGTATCATGTTAGATTGATTCTATTTCTTAATTTCACGGGTTATCATCCTAGGTTTTTGCTACCCTTCTAATTGATGACTGAAACAAGTAAAATTTATTTTGTAGAAGCATTATGCTTTAGATAATGTTTTCCAAAAGACACATGAAACACTTTTTTATTTTCTAGCCATTAAAATCGTGCGTATTTGACTTGCTTCCTCAAATAATTAAAGAAAAACTAACCAAAGGAATATATATATTTTTTGTTAAAGTTGCTACCGAGCGTTTATGGTTTGATAAGAACTGAAAATTTTTTCAATCTCACCATTATGAAAATTAGTAAATTAGGTGAGCAAAGTATAGATAAAAGAACAGAGGCAGATTGAAAATTTCACATGGGGACCTATTTGAACCCTATAGCCTAGGCTTTCTAGATCAGTGGTGACAACACCTGCCGTAGAAGAAGTTCTAACTGCGGAGGAAGGTACTAGTTTGTTTTTGGAGTGTCCTGGGGACTTAGCTAAGAGGGTGTATGACCCAAGTTGTTATACTGTACTAGCTAGTTAGACCAAGCCTGAACTGGCGCTACCAAGCTCGGCGGACGTCAATGTGGTCAAGGAAGATGGCCCGGGCCAAGGGTTAGATGATTTGGCAAACCTCGAAGTGGACTTGAATAATTTGCAATTCTTTGATGAGCATGATTAGGGAAATGTACAAATCAAATGGTTCGACTTGAACAAATCGATTAAGTCTGTGTTGATAACCTCTTAGCTGAGGTTCTGTGTGGTTTCTGATTACTGCTCTTTTGCTTTATTTCTTTTGCTAGGTAGTTTAAAAACATAGCTTCAGAAAGTTCGGATATCCCCAAATACTCTGGACCCGAGTCGGAAGACTTTACAAAGCCGGGGATCTTGTTCGGGCATAACCCGTGTTTACCTCACTTTCGCCGGTTGCAAAACGGAGAAGAATCAGGCAAAGTTCGCCGGCCTAATTCTTAGAGCAATCACCTCTTAGCTCGCATGTGTCCAGTTCGATCCAAGAACAGTCAGCTACTTCCAGTTCAGCTCAAAGATAATCACATATTCCAATGGCACAGTACCCCCCAGCCAATATGGAGGAACTACTACTCCATCTGCAACAAATAGTTAAGACCCTATAGCATGATGTGGCCCATCAGGCCGAGGTTACAGCTCATTAGGCCGAGGTCATAACTAGGCTACAACAACAATAACCACAGCCGGTTGCGGCCTCTGCATCCCATGCACCCACCATAGCTATTCCTGTGCCCAGTGTCACTACTAATATTGCTAATACTCAAGATCCATAAAACCAGGGTAACCCGATTTTTCTAGTCCAAACAAAGCCAATCCCAACACAAGCTTCCAAAGCCCCAGTTTATCAGACCGAGGCTTCGTTCGAGTTCGAGGATGACCCAGTTTGCACCGCCATTTTTTGCTCCACCGACCGCATCGGAAAGTTCAATGGAGCAAAACCAGAGGTGTTTGGTTGAGGTTCACAGGCCACCGCACCAGTTATCTCTTTTGTTGACTCGTTGAGGTCGGGAAAGAGGGTGAGCAGTCCACGGGAAGACGAAGCCATTTTCTGGGCAACAGAGTATTACAGCGTATTACAGAGTTTCTCTCTCAGCAACCGCAGAGTTTTTTCAGAGGTTTTGTAGCAAGTTTTGTCTCTGCCTCAGCCTTAGGTTCAGTCTTGGTTATATAGCCGAGGCAGCCACGCGCATCGCGCGCCTCTTGACGCCCGACAACTTGGCACGCCTTTTTAATGGATTGGGCACGCTTTTTGATGGCACGTTTTTTGAAAGATTGGGCACATCTTTTGAGGGTGCGACTTTACAAGGGTCCGACAAGACTCTGTAAACTGTCCCGACATAGATTCCGGTTAGTTTCTACAGGGGTCCGACAAGACTCTGTAAACTGTCCCGACATTGATTCCGGTTAGTTTCTACAAGGGTCCAGCAAGACTCCGTAAACTGTCACAACAACTGTCACAACATTGTCTGCTACAACGGTCCGACATGACCCCATAAACTGTCTTCTACATCGGTCTGACACCGCCATCCAGTGTCTTCACCAACGGTCTGACACGACCATACAGTGTCTCCTATCCTTTTTTTTATGTATTTTTCTTGTTTTGTTCCTCTCTTCAAACTCAAGTTGGTTAGTTTCTATCCTCCTTGAGTTTGCGGGGGGCTGTTAGAATTTACCATCACCTACCATCACTACCACCTCACCTACTCCACTAAACCTAACCCACTACACCACTACCACCTCACCTACTCCACTAAACCTAACCCACTACACCACTATCACCATCCACTACACACCATCCACTACACCTACATCTATAGAAGGAACCATTTGTAATAGACAGAATATGTATAATAGATCAATCAAAATCAATCAATAATACATAAATTCTTACACCAAGAAGTTAGATTCGTGGACTCCATTGGAAAAAAATATAATTACTGCATCTGTTCTATTTTCAGGTTTTGGATGCATTAGGTGAGTCAATTCCTTGTGCCAATTATGACTCTTGGATGATTTACTTACCTGAAGGTGACTTCTTATCACGCATTGGACCAACTGAATTTTTTAAGGTGGACACTCAATATCCACTTCTGGTATCATGTTAGATTGATTCTATTTCTTAATTTCACGGGTTATCATCCTAGGTTTTTGCTACCCTTCTAATTGATGACTGAAACAAGTAAAATTTATTTTGTAGAAGCATTATGCTTTAGATAATGTTTTCCAAAAGACACATGAACCACTTTTTTATTTCCTAGCCATTAAAATCGTGTATATTTGACTTGCTTCCTCAGATAATTAAAGAAAAACTAAACCAAAGGAATATATATATTTTTTGTTAAAGTTGCTACCGGGCATTTATGGTTTGATAAGAACGGAAAAAAATTTCAATCTCACCATTATGAAAATTACTAAATTAGGTGAGCAGAGTATAGATAAAAGAACAGGGGCCGATTGAAAATTTCACATGGGGACCTATTTGACTCTTGCAATTATTTTTTGGTTTAATTTGAGTCTTGTTTTTAGGTTTCTATGGGTTAGTTGGCTGTTGGTTTAAAATCAGTTCTAGCTTTGTTAGGTATCACGAGTTTGAGTCGGTAGTCTTTAAATTTTCTAGATATGGGCCTTTGTTTTGATCTATTGGTCAGAATATGCGTTTAGCTATATTTTCGGGACTTATATTTGGCCAACGTTAGGTTTCGAATATTAATATATTATAAGTAGTCAAAATTTAGTTGAGGTAGGAGAACTATAGCAGCCCATAAAAATCCTTGTAATCTTTCTATTTGAAAGAGTTGAGTTGTGAGGATTTGAGATTTTGTTTTTTGATTTTGGTTAAACTTTGCAAACATCAAGCCCCTCTCTTCTTCTTCTTCTTCACAATGCAGCCAAGTTACCCTGTGTGAATCACCATTCATACCTAATTTCCATACACACTGTACAGAGGGTAAAGAAAGAGTATACAATTTTGGTTTTTCTATCAGTTTTATGAAACCGAAGACACTAGGATAAAAAAACTTTATGATAGGAGATTTCAACAATCAATTTTCTTATGGATCTTATAAACTAAAAAAATACTTGAACATCCAGATTAGCAGACACAATCACTTGCATATATGTAGCTGCGTCACCTTCATGACTGAGATGAACTTTTTGAAACAAGAAATCACTTATAGCCCTGTTATTGTGTTCTCTTAATTCTGGAAAATTGCTTAATGACTTCTAATCATTCTTCAGGACCTTGAGAAGTATGCAAGTCTTGATGCTGCGCGAGAATGGAGAAAACTTCTTGTAAGTATTGTGTATATATGTATATATATTGTATTCCTCATCAGGCTTCTTTTTTTTTTTTTCTTTTTTTCTTTTTCTTAAATATAGAAAGACTATTTTTTTAATAAAGTAGAAAAGGAAAATCTTTCTTGAGAAGTATGCAAGTCTTGATGCTGCGCGAGAATGGAGAAAACTTCTTGCAAGTATTGTGTATATATGTATATATATTGTATTCCCCATCAGGCTTCTTTTTTTTTTTCCTTTTTCTTAAATATAGAAAGACTATTTTTTTAATAAAGTAGCAAAGGAAAATCTTTGCTATCATTTTCTTTTCAAAATTGAGAATGAGCCAAAAATTTTACGTCCCTTGTATTTGAGGTTGTCCAATATATCAAGCTAAAACCTCAAGGCCGAAACACAAAAAATTGATTAACAGATTGCCCAATATCCTGGATAGGTGATTTTGCAGAAGTTGCCTTCATGATTCCCTATTATTGCTCTTATCAAGAATATAAAATGCATTTCTGTACAGGATGCAATACTACCAATGTCTGCAGCTGCGATGGCTCTGCCACCTTTATCTATTCGAGGTGATTGGGGTGTTCTATCCACTGCTGCAACTAGATATGCCCCCTCTCTCTTGAAATCCTTTGCCCAAATGGGACCTCAGGGGGCCCTTGGTGCTATGAAGCTTCTCAGACCCTTCTCAGAAATAGTTGACTCATTGGAGCTGAAAGAACCTTTTATACGAAATTGGATAGATCTTCTGGCTTTCTTGCTCGCAGGGGTGAAATCTAATGGTATACTGTCTGCAGAGATGGTAACTATTACATATCAAGGTTTTTTCTTGATTTTGGTTGAACTGTGGTATGATTATGAAATATAAATATGCTTGTGTTGCTTATTTTATTGATAACATAATAATTTTGTGCTTCAATGTTTTCAGGTATACATGTTTGCAGAATGGTACAAGCCAGGTTGCAGTCTGGAGTATCCCATTCATGGAACTGGGGCAGTTGATGCTCTTGTCCGTGGACTACAGAAATTTGGTGGACGACGGATCTCTTTCAAGAGTCATGTGGAAAATATTGTTGTTGAAAATGGTCAAGCTGTGGGAGTAAAGCTAAGAAGTGGTCAAGTGAGTAAATGATTTAAGTGACAAAAATACAGAATTTCTCATTCAGATTGAATTATATTTCTTTCTTATTCATTAATTGATAAAAATAAATATTTGCTGCAGTTTGTACGCGCTAAGAAGGCTGTTGTTAGTAATGCCTCTATGTGGGACACATTGGATCTATTACCTAAGGAAGTCATTCCAAAGTCATACCAGGACAGGATCAAAACGACCCCTCAATGTGAATCATTTATGCATCTTCATTTGGGTTTTGATGCAGAGGTGAGTGATTGTAACAACCAGCCTTGCTTATGATTATTAGAGGGGGGAAAAAAAAGAGGCTTTTTGTTCACTAAGTGAGGTGCTTCTTTACAAAATCCATTATGAATTCTAGATCCGAGGAGGATGTTCCACATCCATGACAGATTTATTTTGTACATATTCTCATGTCAGCAAATTTTTTTTTTTTTTCCCCCAACTGTTCAATATCAGATGCAAAAGTTCTGTTTGGCCATTGCACTGTTTGTGGGTTAGTTTCTGTTATGTAGGCCATCAAGTGTTATTTCACTAACTTGGAAAATATTTTTCATTTCCATGTTCAACATGAACCATGTTGATCTCTATTCAGTGGACAAGTGGTTAAACTTGAGTATTTAGGGGAGATGATTGTCTAACATAGCATCAAAGCATTGGTTTTGGTAGGACTTGGGTTCAAGTCTTTGTGTGTTTATTTTTTCCACCATTATGCTTTTCGCTTAGCATCTGTTATATTTTTACTGTTTGCACCTTGTTTGTATGTTAGTACATTTGCAACCTATTTGGTTCATCTGTTTGTTGACATATGAGAAGGGGGTCTCGTGTGAGGGAGGGTACAATGGCTTGATATGTGTTGTTTGGCCCAAATCCTAAATAGCTTTAACTTTTTTGGGTAGCTTTGATCCTATTAGGTCTCAGGTTCAAGTCTTTTCAGATAATCTAATACCTTATAGGATCAAAGCCTACACCTACTCCACCCACTTCACCTAAACCTACCAAAACCTACCACTACACCTACTCCACCCACTTCACCTACTCCACCTACTACTCCACCTACTACATACCTACCTCCTCTAATCTTCTATATATAGGACTCATTGTAAACACAACAAAAATCAATCAATAATACAATTCTCTATTTCTCTTTATACATTAAATTTTCTACACTCATGAATCACGTGCTTGTGATATATTTTTCTATTGCCTCTATCCTTTTCCTGTGCAATATCCTAATTTCCATGTCTGCTCATTTCATGGGCTTCTTGGGTTTGGTTTGCTCTACATTTGTAGTCAACAGAAGGTTTCCAGTAAGCTATGATTGCTTTTGCTATCAACTTTGCAAATTTATTATATATATGATATGATTTGTTCAATTTTCACAATTCATGTTGAAAGCTGATAATCCAGTGCACTATTTCACACCTAACGGTTGCATATCATCATATATCCCAAAGAATCGCTATTCCTTTTAGTTGTTGAATCACTGTTTGATTGATCAGTGTGTGATGTCCTAAATCCTCATAACTAATGGAATCCAAATGATCCCTGGATTGATCAGAAGATCCTTTCAATTGGCTAGAAGCCGTTACTTGAATGAAGCTAGATTTTCTGGAATTATTTGAATATTTGACGATACATTCTGTACCTTGCTAAACAACCGATCCTTGTTTACCAACTGCAGATTGCAGTAAAAAGTTTCCCACGTGTGAATGTGAGGGCTTGGGTGAGGCTTGCTAAAAATGCATCATCTATTGGTGATAATGCACAATATACTTAAGTCAATCTTAACTCTTTAAAGAGAGATTTTTTTTTTTTTTTTTCTAATATTGCTGAGACAAGTTGAAAAATAGTAGAATTGAATCACCATTTGGAGAAACTGAAATCTCAAAGTGGTAACTCTAAGAAATTACTGTTACATAAACAAATTAAATAGATTATTGCCTATTCTGTGGGATATGCTACATAATGTTAGCTTTGTGCTCTCTTCAATCGTTGACATCTGTGGCATGACGACTTTTTCTCAATGTTGGTAATCTTTTAACCAGGCTTCATCTGCCACTGCTTTGGATGGTGTTTTCCTAAATCTGAATAAATAAACCTAACATATGTTTTATTTATTAGGGTATAAGCGAGGACTTGAAGATTCATCATATAGTTGTGAATGATTGGGAGAGAGGAGTTGATGCTGATCAAAATGTTGTTTTGATATCTATACCCAGTGTGCTTTGTCCAGATCTTGCACCCCCTGGGAAACACGTGTTACATGCCTATATGCCAGGAACCGAACCGTTTGGACTCTGGGAAGGACTTGATCGTAAAAGTGTTGAATACAAAGAACTCAAAGCTAAAAGATCTGAGGTATGCTTACTGGCAACTTTTGTCATTGGCTTTTCTTATGTTGTCATTCATGACAAATGCACTAACTGAAAGCCGTGAAATTCAACATTATCAGAAGGAATAATAGAGCAAGTTCAGCGAACTTATTATGGAACATTTTAATGACAGTCCATTTAGAATTTGACTATGGTATTGAGGTTGAGGGAGTTTTACATGTTTTTTTTTTGCTGATTGGGTTTTTTATTTGCATCTTAAAGCTTGATTTGTTCAATTAGATCCAATGTTTTCTAGTTAATTGTCAAGTTTATGAACAATATATATGGTATGCATAAATTTTGGCATTGGAGGTTGTGACCTAGAGCGATGACAAGTGTTATCAGCTCCATGTGCCATGGCGTGGGGTTGAGTCACATGAATCAGCGTCTCCACAAAAATGTGGAGGGAGAGCTGCCTACTTACTATCTCTCCCAAACCCTATTGTAAGTGGGAGTCTTGTGCATTGTGTTCAACCTTCATAAGTTTTGGCATTCTTTTGATTTTTACCTACGGTGGAACTTCTTAAGAAAGTCTCAAGGTGTACATAATTTTTCCAATAATTGAAGCAACTTGATTTTACCATGTATGATGTGACAATATTTGAAGCATCATGTCTTTTAGTTTCTCTAAAACAATGGTCAAAATTGCATATAATTTTAGAGTCAGAAGTTCATATTTCTGTGTATTCTTGGAATGTTGTCGACTTAATTTTTGAGTTTACTATTAGCTACCTTGCTAATATCCCTGATTGTTCTCCTTTATTCTTTGAAATTCTCAAATGCTTATGCGCCATCAGATTATTTCCGGATAATCCATATTTAGTGTATGAAACAAGATAATTATTTTTCGTATTAAAGCAGTTCTTATTATTCCTTACCAATCCAGGTCCTGTGGAGGGCCGTGGAGCGTGCTGTTGGTCCAGGTTTTGATCGCGAGAAGTGTGAAGTGAAGTTAGTTGGAACCCCCTTGACACATCGAAGGTTTCTGCAGAGGAATAGAGGAACTTATGGGCCAGCTATACAGGCCGGTAAAGGCACTTTTCCCGGACATTCAACTCCGATCCCACAGCTTTACTGCTGCGGTGATTCTACATTCCCTGGTATCGGAGTCCCAGCAGTTGCTGCTAGTGGCGCCATTGTTGCAAACTCATTGGTTTCTGTGTCTCAGCACTCAGAGCTTCTTGACGCTGTCGGAATATGATAAAAGCTGGTGAGTTCTGTTTAATGTTTATCTTGAATTTTTCCTCATTTTGTTGTATGTTTATTAATATTGTATATAATGTTTTTGAGAAACAAGTATTTTTGTCGTGCTATAAAATTTAAATAATACACGTTTTTTTTTTGCACATACTAAAATTAAAATGAACCTCACTGAAATTGGTTGAATAAGAATCTTGGAATCTAATTTAATCAGATTTTTACCCACCTTTTGAATTGGAAGCAAAAATAAAAATTACTCAAATGTTTTATGATGCATTTTTTTAATAATTGGTAGGAGAGAAATAGGGGAAGGGGAAGCTGCATTTGCAGCGGTGAGACTTGAATTTCTCCCCCGGTGTGGGTAGGGGTGGAGGTTTTTAGTTACACACATAGAAAGATCAAAGTAGCTATATGATAGAAAATACTGGTTTTAAGTTGTTAACATACCAATTTTGTTATGATGATGATTACATGTACCTTCACTGCATTGGTAACATTTGTGAGTGGTGGAGCCTATTAAACCAATGAAATGGTAACACGTAAGATGATGTTTGGATATTTTTTACGATAAATTAGAAGCACAAATAGACTGGGAGTTATGTAAGTTTAGACCTGCTGAAGTAACTATTTTTTGGAGACTTGCATAAGACTAAGGTCAAGTATAAACTTATTAGAATTTTTTTGGATTGAAATTATAAATTATGTTTTGAACAATTAGTTTTTGAAACTAGAGAGTAAGTCCATTCATCCTTGTTACATATTGGTTGTGGCGGGATTAATGCATGGGATTGGATGGGATTGGATTATATATCTTGCTTGATCTTGAATTTCACATTTATATATTAAAGTGAACCTCTAGATTGACAGTCCCTTTTGGACTGTATATCCTCCATATAGGCCACTGTTGAGTCTTATAGGAGGGGATGAGATACCCAATGGAAGGATTAAGGGGGTCCAGATTAGCTGGTTGAAAGAATAAAACATTCTCAAATTATAGTTTTTTTGAGCAACAAAAAAACAATTTTATTGAAACAAAGATGGTAATAAAGGGGGGACAAGAAATTTATTTTTTTTTTTTTTTTTTTTTGAGCAACAAACAAACAATTTTATTGAAACAAAGATGATAACAAAGGGAGAATAAGAAGTCCTCTTACAAAGTCAGAAAATATAAACCTAAAGACCAAAGAAACAAAACTACAACATATCACAACCGGCACTAAGTATGACAAATAGCAGCCCAAACCCTAGAGACCATTTCTAACAAACATGAGATAAGATGGAATTCCAAGACTTACTAGTTTCGGTAATCTTGTCCAACGAAACAAACATAGTAAATTTTCACAAACTAGTCTTGAATGCTAACCCAGAACCACCCAACTTTTCTTCAATGACCTTGTTCAAGCATTCCACCATCTCAAGTGTAAAATGATTGATCCAATCACCCACTTCACCTCTCCTGAAGAACGTCTTATTCTCAAAGTGTCTAATGGATTTACCAGTTTTGTTCACCTCCAACTCTCTCATATTGTTAAAGTTGCACAACCTTGATATCTCTTCTATCACACCTTCACTCTCTTCCTCTAAAGAGAACGGAACGCTCATAAACTCTGCTAGCCTCTTCATCTGAAAAATAATATCTTCTTTCAAGTCCTCGTACATCAAAAACAGCACCTTTTGAGGCCTTTTCAGGCTCTCCTTCCAGTACCCCAATACATTGTCCCAGAAGGGCCCAAAACCGATGACACCCCTACAATACATGTCAAAAGCATCAATACACGATAGAGGCTCAAGGCTCTCTGGTCTAGGCTTAGACAAGAAATGCCAGGCGGAGACAAAGGCGTCGTAGGGATTGCGACAGAGATAAACAACGCGACAATTAGAGGTCTTGATTGAGTCAGGTAATGAATGGTATGGCATATGGGTGGAGAAAATGCTAGACTGAAAGTTGGAGAGGTTTAGAATATGACTGTCTTGATGGCCGTCTTTATTAGCAGAGAGATTGATCTCGTGAAAAGGGATGAGGTCGTGAGGGTTGGAAGTGAGAAGGGGGTATTGGGAAAGCGTGTTGGTGTAGCGATGACGGTTGGCGATAGCGAATGTCAAGGCCTTCAACCAGGTGGTGCCTGATTTGGGCATGGTGGCGAGTATGAGGTCGGTGTCCTGAGCTTTGAAGTGTTGTTGGAAAGACATTACTCCCTGAATTTCCATTGAGGGGCACCAAAAGCCTTGGTAGAGATAGAGATCCAGACCTGTCCATCCCTTCTCTTTGGGAAGCAATGCTAGTGGATTGTCATGGCAATCTTCTTCTTCTTCTTTGTCTCTGATGATTGGATTGATTTCCCTTTCTTGAGTGTTTTCCATGGAAGGTGGGGATGGTATGTTGCTATGGTAGGTGTAAGAGGGGCTAATTTGAGCCCACTAAATTATTTAGGCCCAATAGCCCAAGATTAGTGGGCCCGAATTTATCGCAAGTCCAAGAATCGGTGGGCCCAGATTTATCGCCATCAAACGGATTGAATCGCTCTAAGCCTCGAAAGGGTTCGGATCCACGAACCTAGAGACTTACTCAGGCCCGGACTCGAAAGGGTATTAGGCAAGCCTAGAGATCCGAGGCACTCGGACTCGAAAGGATTCGGATCCACAAATCTAGAGATCCGAAGCACTTGGCTTCGAACGGATTCAGACGCAATCTAGAAGTCGCTCCGTTAATGAGTCCCAGAAGATTGAAAAACTTCAACAGGCTGGTTTCATCCGGCCAATACAGTACCCCACGTGGTTAGCAAACATCGTGCCAGTAAAGAAGAAGAATGGCCAAATCAGAGTATGTGTAGACTTTCGAGATTTGAACAAATCTTGCCCGAAGGATGAATTCCCTCTTCCTCACATCGACACCCTCGTGGATACTACCTCAGGACACCAGATGTTCTCATTCATGGATCTCTGGGACTACCCCTGACCCTTTGGGATGATTGGGGATCATTGGTTAGGTGTGGCTAAGAAGAAGGGTTCGCCGAGGGAGTGATCTCCTCTTCGGGGTTTTCTCATCCTCGGAGAAGTCACATCCTCGGAGAGGTCACCTCCTCGGACAAGGTGGTTAGAGAAAATATCCCCCATGTGCCTTGCACATGGGCTCCATCCTACATCATGAGGTGCCTATAAATAGCACCAACCCATAGCTTTACAAGGGATGAATTTTGGAGATTTTTTTCAACTCTTGGGAAAGAACTAATTTCCCTTCTCCATTATCAACCTTGAGAGTGAAAGTGGGAGATCAATGGGAGAGCCTTGCCATTATTCTATTCTCTAGCCATTTTGCCTTCTTCTTCACCCAATCTCTTATCTCC